ATTCTAAAAAGACTATAAAGGCTATCCACTGCTTTTAACAGCCACCTGTAGAGAAGATGTCTGTAGAACAAACCACTCCGCATTTCCCCATAAATGTGGTTCTGCACCTGCTGCACCACACCTAGGGACTGGTGGGTGTTCCTGCAGCATCAATGACATGTGGCTGTGTCAACAACAATATCTGGGGTCTTCTCAAAGACCACAAGTAGCAGCTTGCTACATGTCCTGTTTTGCTGCATGCCCGGGATTGCTCAATCCAAGGGAGCTGGCAAGTTTGTTGGCTTGGGATATATTTAGGGTCACCAGCTGTGCAGATTGATCGTATTTGAACTATACCCGGTCAATGCTAGGATGTATCTATAAGAATGAGCAACCACAGAGATTTCTCATTCTCTAGTGACTCCCCCCCCCCCAGTGAGTTGCAGCCAACTTATGGCAACCCTGTAGGGTTTTCAAGACAAGAGAGGTTCAGAGGTGATTTGCCACTGCTTGACCCTGGACTTCCTGGTGGTCTCCCATCCAGTGCTGACTCTGCTTAGCTTCTGAGATCTGATGCGAACGGACTAGCTTGGGTTATTTAGGTCAGGGGTTTGGGGTCACAAATTGTGCAGATGGATCCTACTTGGAATTGTAGCTGGTCTCATCAGCGCTAGGACATACCTATAAGAATGAGTAACCATGTAAAAACACCACTCCCCACATTAGTAACATTGGTATGACTATGTGCTGTGAAACAAGTGGGCATCTATAGAAAGGGGAACAGTGAGACCCTGTAAATATGGGGAATAATCTTGGGTTTGAAAAATGTTTCTAGATAAGTTCAATGACTGTGCCATGGAGCAGATGGTCACAGGACCTACCAGGGAGGAGGTGATCCTGGACTTGGTCCTAAGTAATGCTCAAGACCTGGTGAGAGATGTAAACATGATAGCACCGGCTGGTAACAGTGCCCAAAATGCTATTAAGTTTCGCATTTATGTAAATAAGGAGTTGCCCAAAATGACCAACACAATCACTTGAGAAGGGGTAGCTTCTCTCATATGAGGTGCCGTGTGAAGAAGAAACTGAAAGGAATAGGTAAGGAGAGTCAAATCCCTTCAGGAAGCTTGGAGACTATTTAAAACTACAATACTGGAAGCTCTGATACAGTGTATATCACAGGATAGGAAAGGTACAAACAGGTATATAAAAAGGCCTGCATGATTAACAAACAAAGTAATGCAAGCAGTAAAATGTAAGGATTCATTTAAGCTGTGGAAGGCTGGTCTGAGTGAGGTAAATAAAAGGGAGCACGGGCTTTGGCATATAAAATGCAAGTTGTTAATCAGACAGGCAAAAAGGGACTATGTGGAACATACAGCAAAAAACATAAAAACCAACAATAAAAATTGCTTCAAATACATTAGAAGCAGGAAACCAGCCAGGGAGGCAGTGGGGCCCTTGGATGACCAAGGGGTGAAAAGAGTACTGAAGGATGATAGGGAAATGGCAGCAAAGATTAATGTATTTTTTTGCCTCTGTCTTCACTGTAGAAGATGGGAAGTGCTTGCCCACTCCAGAACCACCTATTTCAGGAGGGGTGTCGAAAGACCTGAGTCAGATTGAGGTGACAAGAAGGGAGGTCCTATGACTGATGGACAAATTAAAAACTGACAAATCACCAGGCCCAGATGGCATACATCCGAGAGTTCTGAAAGAACTCAAATGTGAACTTGTAGATCTCCTGACAAAAATATGCAGTCTATCACTAAAAGCTGCCTCCATTGCTAAGGACTGGAAGGTAGCTAATGTAATCCACATCTTTAAAAAAGGTTCCAGAGGAGATCCTGGAAATTACAGGCTGATCAGTCAAATGTCAGTACCGGGAAAGTTGGTGGAATCCATTATTAAAGATAGAATCAGCAGGCACATTGATGAACAAAAACTATTGAGGAAGAATCAGCATGGATTCTGTAAGGGAAGATCTTGTCTCACTAATCTTTTAGAGTTCTTTGAGGGGGGTGAACAAACATGTGGGGAAGGGTGACCCAGTAGATATAGTTTACCCAGACTTCCAGAAATCTTTTGATAAAGTTCTTTACCACAGGCTCCAAAGTAAACTCAGCTGTCATGGGATAAGAGGACAAGTCCTTTTGTGGATTAAAAACTGATTAATTAATAGCAAACAGAGAGTATAAATGGGAAGGTTTCACAGTGGAGGTTGGTAAGCAGTGAGGTACCACACAGCTTGGTACTAGGTCTAGTGCTTTTTAACTTGTTCATTAATGATCTGGAGTTGGGAGTAAGCAGTGAAGTGGTTAAGTCTGCAGAAGACACTAAGATGTTCAGGGCAGTGAGAACCAGGAAGGATTATGAGGAGCTTCAGAGGGATCTGCTGAGGCTGGGTATCAGCATGACAAATGAGGTTCAACATAAGCAAATGCAAAGTAATGCACATTGGAGCCAAAAATCCTAAGTACTAATATATGTAGATAGGGTCCGAACTGGTGATAACTGACCAGGAGAGAGATGTTGGAGCCATGGTAGATAACTCACTGAAGATGTCAACTCAATGTGTGACTGCAAAAAAGAAAAGAAAAGGCAAATGCTATGATGGGGATTATTAGGAAGGGAACTGAAAACAAATCAGTCAGTGTCATAGTGCCCTGTATAAATCTATGGTGCAGCCTCATTTGGAATGCTGTGTACAGTTCTGGTCACTGCATGTCAAAAAAGATATTACAGCATTGGAAAAGGTGCAGAAAAGGGCAACTAAAATGAATGAGGGGATGGAACACCTTCTCTATGAAGAAAGGTTAAAGAGGTTAGGGCTCTTTAGCCGGTAGAAATGACAATTGAGGGGTGACGTGACAGAGGTTTATAAGATTATGCATGGGACAGAGAAGGTAGAGAAAGACGTATTTCTCCTCCCTTTCTCACAAAACAAGAACTTGTGGGCACACAATGAAATTTAAGAGCAGTAGGCTTAGAATAAATAAAAGGAAGTACTTCTTCACTCAAAGAGTAATTAATAAGTGGAATTCACTGCTGCTGGAAGTGGTGGTGGCTACAAGCATAGGTCGCTTCAAGAGGGGATTGGATAAATATATGGAGCAGAGGTCGATGACTGCTATTAGCCAGGAGGTATCAATGGAACACTCTGTCTGGGGCAGTGATGCTCTGTATTCTTGGTGCTTTGAGGGCAAGTGTGGGAAGGCTTCTGAAGGCTTCTGTGGGAAGGCCTCCGCCCCCGGGGAGGCCGAGGAGGAGGTGAGCGCGGAGCAGCCCGCCGAGTAGCTACAACTTGGAACGGCAGCGGTGGCTACGTGAGCTTTGGCGAGGCGGGACCGCGCCGTCCCTCAGCTGTCCAAGCAGTCATGCACGCAAGGGGGCCGCCCCGGTACAGGGCGTCTTGCATGTGCTGCTGGACCTGCCTGCAGCACCTCTTGCAGGTTGCAAGGCGGCGCTGGGGGGGGTGCGCTTCGGGTTCTGTGCGCTCTGCGGGAAGATGGCGAAGGGGACCCCCCACGTGTCTTCTCGCTCCCTTTCTGAAAAGTCTCCACAACTCTTCCTGGGCCCATTCGCTGGACTGGCTTCCGAGCCAGGTTGCGCTTCCTCGAGGGGTGCTTTCCGGCGAGGCGAGCTGACCTCCCCACACACCCCCGCGAATCAAGGGGCTTTCCACTGAGCAGGGCAGTGAGAGAGAGAGGGTGACAGAGTGCAAGGAGCGCAAACAGCAGTGGCGGCTCCCTCCCTCCATTCCCTCCGTGGGTGCGGGGCTGAAGCACCTATGGTGGAGTTGGGCGGTGGCGGGCTGACAGCCCCGGAGCAGGAGGAGGGAGGAGGTCTCTCGGCACCGGGCCACGGGCGCCTTGAGCTTCGAGCTGCTGCGGAGCATCGGGGAGGCGCGCAGTACGCAGCCGGGGGTCTTCTGTCAGTGGGCCTGGCCTCTGGGGCGCCCTCGGAAGCTCGGGAGGGGACATCTCTCCACTTCTCCCCACCCCTCCAGCGGAGGGCGTGGAAGGGTGTCGCCAGAGAGCAGGGCCCCCGCCCCCCATGGCGCCCTCTGCCTCCTCACGGCCTTCCTCCCTCCCTCCCTCCCTCCCCTGCTTCCCTCTCTCGCCACAGAGAGAGAGAGAGAGAGAGCGTGTGGGAGAGGGGCGGGCGCCAGTTAGGGCATCGACAGCGGGGCAGTTGGGCGCCCCTGTGGGCCGGCACGCCCTAGGCGAGCACCTAGCTCGCCTAGCGGGTGAGCCGGCCCTGAGTCCAATGATCCTTCCTTTAATCTCTGAGTGTGAATTCAGCCTTGGATGATGCACACTCCCCTATTTGGGTCTCCTACACTCAGTTCCTTCCCAAGTTCAGCCTAGTGCAGCCCTCTGAAATAGCTTCAGGGCCAGAAGGGAGCAAACTCCTTTCCCCGTCAGTCCAGATGGAATCATGAGGGCTTCAATGTCTTGAGGTGATAAAGAAGGTTTCCTTTTCATACCTCAAGGCCTAGACAATTCCAGGTGGTGGCTTCAGTGCTGGAGAGCAAACCTTCTTTACCTCTTGCCTCCAGCCCTTGAAGTCTCTGCAAGCAGTATTTATTTAGACTATTTCTACGCAGCTTCTTCAGATTCCTACTCGAGACGGCTTACAATTGAAAACACAAACAGCAGAAAACTATCCATGGACCATTAGAAAGCTGATAAGATAAAACCCTTCATTAAAAAATCTAGGTAAAAAGATGCACTTTGGCCCAGCACCTAAAAGTTGGCACCAGGAGAACCTCAAGGGAAGGGTGTTCTACCTGCCCCACTTCTGAATCCTTTATATGAAAGCTTGGAGAGAATGAGGGAAAACAAAACAAAGGTTTTCCACCCAAATTCCAGAAATGCAGAAACCTCTCATGATGAGGGACACACATTAAAAAATAATAATGTGTAGGTTGTGGAATAATGTGAAGACAGAACCCAAAGCTGCAGATACAAGTCATTTTCAATATCTCATTTCAAGCACAGCTGATGCCAGCTCATTACCTGTATGTCAACGTTTTTTTCTCCCACTTAGGTTCTCCTGGGAAGAGGCGATAATTTGCAACGTCAGGGACACCGCACCGAGGCCTCTTGATGACACTCATGGTGCTATAGTCCAGCTTCCCAGTCACTTGCAAGCCAAAGAATGCCTGCATTTGCTGAACTTTCTTCGTCATCGAATCGCCATCCGCTGCCATTTCTCCAACCTTGTGTTCTCCTTTCGGCGTGTAATACTTGTCAAGGTAGTCCTAAAACCAGAGAGTGGTAAGGAAACCTAGTTCTCCACAGTAGTAGTTCAAAATGTGTGACTGCCAAAGAGAAAAACACTGTCTCTTTCTCTCTCCCCCCAACAGAAAACAAAATTCATTTCAATGTCTAGTTGATACTCTTTAATGGTGGGCTCAGCCCAATGTGATCCCGATCATTCTGGTGGTCTAAGATCCTCTTCCAGCAGGTCAGACCTGGCTGCCAGCCCCATGGACAGCAGAGAGGCCCATAGTTGCAACTGTTACCCAAAATTTTTACATCTTTGTTCTCACTACTGTGAGGTGCCCCAGATCTCCCCCCCCTCACCTGTGGCTGGCCAGGGGAGTCCTGAGGAGAATAGGACATGGACCTTAAAGGCAGTCAGCAATGTATAGTAACGGTTGGCCCTGTACATTGATACTCAAAAGAGGTGCGATGATTAGAGTTTTGAACAGGACCAGGGCAGCCCAAGTTCAGTTCTTCACCTCAGCCAAGAAAATCACTGGTACACCTTTGGCTAGTTGCTTTCTCTCAGCCTGAGGTACCTCACTGAGATGTGAGGGCAAAACAGAGGAGGGGAGAATTGTTTATACAGCTCTGAGCGCCATAAAGGAAGGGTCGAGTTGACAAATCCAGTTTGGAAAATTCCTGGAGATTTGGGGTGGTGGTACCCAGGGAAGGAGAAGAGATGTGATAGAGCCTGCCCCTCAAAGCTGCCATTTCCTGCGGAGGAACTGATCTATTTACTCTGGAGATCAGCTGTATTTCTGAGAGAAGTCCAGAGTCTACCTGGACATTGGTAATCCTAACAGAGTGAGATAATAATATGATTGGCAGAGAGAACATTGCAGAATGTTTTATTTATTTTATTTCCTTCAATAAGCAGGATGAGGGCGGGTTCCAGCCTATAATAATATGACGTAGTTGGGCCATTACAGTGTTAACACAGAGATACTGCAGCTACCTTAGTAAGAATGATTAGGCGTGCAGGATATACTAGTGAGAAACTCAGGCTAGTAAGCCATTTACTCTTGGGGAAATTCACTATTGCAATGTTTGAGAGCCATTATTTTAGTTTTCTATTGTTGCCCCAAAAGTACTCCGCTGTAATGAAGGAAAAACAAATAAATTTCCATAGACAAATTCACAGAACCTTCTTTGGAGGAAAAAGTCAAAGGAAGGGTTCCCCTCCCCTTAAATTATCACTATACATGAAATGAAGAAGCAATAAATGAGAACCATGTGATATCTGCATAGTATCACAAGAAGGCTGTAGTAGTCTCTGGTCATACAATAAACACACACACACACACACAAAGGAAATGGTCTTAAAGACAAAAAGACACAAAGCCAAGACCGAATAGGAATAAGAGGCAGAATAATAACAACCTGTGTCAGTAATGTGCCGTTCAAGATAACATAACACTTTGGAATAAAGATAGGGTACACAGGAGTGAAATTATCAAGGTGCATTTGCAACTGCTAGGTACACTCTGTGTGTATAAAGTGATGTCAAGTTGCAGCCAACTTATGGTGACCCTGGAAAGGTGTTTCCAAGGCAGAGATGGTTTGCCATGGCCTCCCTCTGCAGAGCCTTCCTTAGTGGTCTCCCTTCCAAGTACCGACCCTGCTTAGCTTCTGAGATCTGACAAGGTCAGGCTATATTATACCATTCCCTATTAGGAACACTATCCACTGATAGTATGAGCAATGCAAAATAACAAATGGTAAGACAATGATCTTCCTACAATTGAGCATATATAAGTAGCAAATCATAAGAGGTAGAACAATGAATCTTGGGTACACAAGCATTTCAGTATTCTCACAATAACATAAGAGCTCTCTCCTGCTTCTCCATATTTCTATTGTTGCAGACCAGTAACACTGATTTTACTGATGGCCATATGCCATAAACAATCCATGCAATTCCAGCCTATGGTAAGGACTTAAGTAACCATTGATCTCTATTTCCACTTTGAGATTGCAGTTCGTAAGAGCTACAGAAGTTACAGTTCCCAAAATCCAAAGCTGCCAACTACCTGGGAGAAGCAAATAACAAAAAAAAACCATATACCTCCACCCATTCCTCACCACCACAAATATAGATTTAACATCTTAAAAACCTGATCTGAAGTACCATTTAGTCAGAGGTAACTCCTATGGACCCCAGTGAAAGCTACTTCCAACAGTCACAACTCTATAGCCTGATCCTATGCATATTAACTGGAGGGAAAAATTCACTTCATGCAGTAGGACAGGCTCCTAAACCAAGTGCCTATGGAATTGTCAGTAAAATGTGCAAAGCATCACGCACCTGTGCAATATAGAAGTCTCTCCAGCTGGATGTACGTGGCAATGCAAAAAGAGCAGGGGCGGCCATTGAATATTTCAAGGAAAGAACCAGAAACAAAGGTGGGCAAAACATATAAAAGAGCTCCATTTCTTCTCTGGTGTACAGGATGTGTTGATAAGACCGGGCAGAAGGACCCTCTGCCACTTTTTATAGAGAGAGCAGCCCGTTTGGGAATCCAGAGCCAAAGTGACTCATGTCTCAGAAGGTAATTATACAGTTTAAAAAGTTTTGATGAAGGGGTAACACACTAGCACTTAGATAAAGGAAAAGCCAAATCCCTCCTAACTTAGAAAAATTGGCAAAAAGAAGGAAGCATCGTATAATGCTGGCAAAAGTAGGTAAACACTGTATTCTGCAGTTTCTAAATGGGCAATATGTGACATAGCTCCATTTCCACTGTCTTCAAATAACGCACCACGCACTTGGACATACTTTTTGACCGCAATGCAACACAGAGTTAAGCACACTTAAGATCTGCGGAAATCAAAGGGATCAAGTACAATAAACTCTTAAATGGTGGCTCCTGCCTTCGTATTGTACTTTAGATTTGGGAATTGCGAAGATCCTCCGGAAAGTTGAATATTTATTTTGAAAAATGAAAGCAAATGTTGGGATCAAAATCTGCCTCACGTTGCTGAAATTAGGATTACTAATCTCAGTGAGAAAGGCAAAAACTATAAATAAACAAGTAAATGAATACTACTGATGTTTCAGAATCTTATGTCAAGAATCTTTTGGAACAGCAACTTTTGATAGTTTGCAGCCTTGGAATGCAAGAAATGGTATTTAGTCCTTGGTTTGAGGGCTGGCCAATCAACTCCCACATGAATCAAAAAAATGGCTGCCATATTAGGCATGGAGCCAATCACAGAATGTTGGGAGGTCCCATGAAGTATTGCAAGACAAATGTCCTTTGCAGGCAACTACTTCCCAATGGGTAATCCCTGCAGATGCTTCCTGGGTTCTTCTGAAACATCTCGTACAGCAAAGAGGTGGAGGAAGTCAGGATAGGCTCTATGGTTTGAGAAGGAGTAGTTTTGGTTTTATTTTTCAAAGAAAGGGGATTGTTTGCTCCCTGCATGATCCTAGGTGTAAGGAAATTTGTGTCTGTATCCAAGCCAGGAGCATATGGTTATGACACACCTGCCTTGGGTTAGTTTAGCCAGAAGGGAGTGAACTCCCTGTATTTGCCATTCTGTTCAAACTCCTCTGGATCATATCGCTAAAACCAAGAAGCAAGTGGGCATCAGAAAACATACTGGTGGGTGTTGCTCATGATGCCCTTGAGTTCCATGTTGGAATCACTGCTCTAGAGTCCTGGTGCAGTGTTCTCTTTAAGCTCCACAGTGTTGTGAGCAGAAATTCTACCGTGAGTGAAAAAGGCTCATAGCATTAAAGTTGTGAGTGAGTCTACCTTTGACTATCGCATACATTATTTTTTAAGAAGATTATTTCCACAATCTTGTAAAAACCTCAGAATGAATTCTTTTAAACTATATTTTAACTATATTTTTACAATAATTTAAACATTATAATCTCACCCACCCATTTCCACTATATTGGTAGGTCTGCCCCCCTTTCCACTATATTGGTAGACCTGTCATCCAGAGAACAGGTCTATCCACCACAATCCACTATACTGGTAAACCCTGGCCTTGAACCAATGCCTTGTGCTGAGCCTTAGAAAACATATCAGCACATGGGGGGGGGGAATCTTGCAGTCTGTTATTTTTGTAGTGAAATATGACAACCAGCATTACAGGTCAAGTATAACAGAGGAGGAACAATCTTAGTTAAATGTGACAACCAGCATTATAGGTCAAGTATAACAGAAGAGGAACAATCACTGTCAAAATCCTGCCTAACCTAACAAAAGAGCAAGTTGCTTAAATGTTATCAAACTGCCCGAATTACTTATTTATTCATATATTTATATCTCACTTTTCCCTGTGATTCAAGGCAGCTTACAAATCATACTGAAACGTATAATGGGGGTATGCAAAAAAAAATCATTTCCCCCATAGGCTATAATGGGCAATTCCCCAACGCGACCCATAGGCTATAATGGAGAATCGATCTAGGGCTAGCTGGGGCTCTGGGAGGGCTGTTTTTTTAGGCAGAGGCACCAAATTTACAGCATAGCTCCTGGTGCCTCTCCTCCAGCCCCCCTACATTTCAAAAATATTGGACCATGGGGTCTAATTCTATGGGCCCCAGAAGGAGATGCCCCCATCCTCCATTATTTCCAATGGAGGGGAAATGCCTTGAGCGCTGAAACAGAAATCCCTATGCTGCCTGTTAAAACTTTGTGTGCCAGTGCCCCCCAGCACAGCTTAGAGGGAGCTATGCTGGGTAGAGAAGTCTTTCCCAGGACCAATGACAATTGGGGTCTTTCTACATTCAGAACATTCCCCCTAACACTGAGCTACAATCTTGCAATATACATGTGATATAAAATGCCCTGGGGGAGATGGACTGGAGCCTTCATAGTCTTGGTACCCCGACAACCGAATTATCTGAGAGAGGTCTGACAACTTCTCTCCTAATATTCTTCTTAGGGAAAAATGGGGTTGCCAGGTGAAGGCTGACAACCCTGGGGAGCTTTTTGGGCCAGGGCTTTGTATTGTGCAGCATTTCATTATGCCATGACATTATTTCCAGTCACATGACCAGAAGTGATGTTATGCATAACCACAATTTTCTAGCAATCCCCCAAATATTGATGTTTCACTATTGAGATGTTGAGGATTGCTAGAGATCACATTAATGTGTGACATCATTCCAGTTAGGCAACAAGAAATGTCATAATGGCTTTGCTACAATGGCACTTCCCCCAGAAAATTTCTCCTGAATTTTTGCTCACAAAAACTCCACTGCTTAGAGGGAGCATTGTGGCAGCAGGGGGTGGGAGGTCTCCCATCATAGTGGGAGACCTGTTCCTTCTATGTACCACCTTTAATATAATTTGCCAGCAATTCTGGAAATATTATCTGCTAATTTTGGATTGCCCTGACATGGAAAGCCCAAACCAGGCCAATCTCGGCAGATCTCAGAAGCTAAGTAGGGTTGGCCCTGGTTAGTACTTGGATGGGAGACCGCCAGATCCAGGGTTGCTATACAGAGCAAGGCAATGGCAAACCACCTTGGTTCATCTTTTGCTCTGAAAACCCTGTGCGATTGCTATAAATTGGCTTCAGATTGACGGCACTTTACACAAACACCTCTAGATTATTTCCATAACAGAATCCTGGAAATTCACCTTGCAAGTCTACAAATGTTTCAGCCACAATGGAGACATCTGCCTTGGACAGAGCCACTGACTCAGTCTATCTGAAATTTGGTGGGCCGATATATAGGCTTGGGTCTTTTATACGGTGGCACTGAAATTCTGAACCCTTGCCTCTTCAGGTTTCAGCCGAGGCGATTCTTTTGCAGAGGACTTTTGGAAAGTCCTGATTGCACTAAGCTGCTGTTGATGGTTTATCATTTCTGATTAACCAAGACCCTGGGGCATCATTATGGCTAATTAGCTTATTATAGCATAAGCTTTCGAGAATCCACTCCCTCAGTTGCATGGAGTGCTACATCCAGCCCTCCAATTAAGATCTTGCTCACAAGCCATGTTCTCTGTGCCCTTTCCCTTAGAGGTGAGGCAGGAAGTTACCAGAGATAGGGCCTTTCAAATACTGGCACTTTGCCTGTGGGATCCCTTTCCCCTTGAGGCTCACCTAACACCTACCCTGGTGATGTTCTAACTCCAGTAATGGTTTCTGGCCCTCCTTCTAGTGCTGTTTGTTTATGTGTTCTTAGTTTTAATTATTTTATAACTTTAAACAGTATTTTTTATTATGCAAATGTGTTTTTTAAAGTTTATTTGGTTTTCAGAATAATATATACTTATAACATTTCTTTTGGATATAAACAACATCAAAAATATACACATAAGGTAAAAATACTTTTTTTCAAACAACAACCCACGCGTATATATAAAGATACATTTTTAAAAATATAATCCAATAATTCTTATTTGAGTACCAGGATCAAGTATCAGCACATTAATACATATATCTTTAGTTTACTTGTTTGTTCATTTTAGTTTTTACAATTTGCCACATCCATTCTGACAGTAATCATAGCACTTTGTCAAATGTAACCATCCAGAGCCAAAACATGTCCTTTCAGGGCTAGGTTCTAACATAGCACAGATACTCAAATTAACCATAAGGTACCAAATCAATTAACAATATTTAAGTACAAGGATCAAGCATTAGCAAATTAATACATAATTCTTTAATTTTCTTGTTTGTTCATGTTAGTTTTTACAATTTACTACCTCCCTTCTAACAATAATTATGAGACATTGTCAAGTATAACCATCTAAAGCCAACACATGTCTTTTCCGGGTTAAGTTCTAACAAAGCATACATACTCCAATTAACCATAAGGTACCTGTTTCCAATATAAGTATAAATTATCAATTTAATTTTTATAACTTTTAGATTTTCCAATTATTTTTTTAAATTTTTTAACATTTTGAATTTACTACTATATTTGCATCCAAACATTCTCTACTAAACTTTTATGCCATTACAAAATCAATTGACTTTTCAGA